TCCTCCGGACCGAGGTGTGCGTCATGAGGTCGACCTGGTTCCGGGAGCCAAATACTGCGTAACACACCAATGGCCGCTGCCCAAGGAGCAGTGCGACGTCATTGACGCCTTTTTCGTGCAAAGCACGACGCAGGGATGTTACGTGAGAGCAAGTCTCCCCGTTCGACACCCACGTTTTGTGTTCGGAAGCCGGACGGCAAGTGGTGTATCGCTCATGCTTATAATAAGCTAAACGCTGCCACCATTCCGGCTCAAATGCCAATTCCTAGAAAAGATGTTCTCCAGAACAATATGGTTGGCTGTACAAAGTACAGCTCAGTCGATGGGTATTACCAATTGCTCATGAGAGCGAGTGATATTCCGCTGATAGCGCCGAGTACTCCAAGCGGGATGCTCTGGGAGTGGCTGGTGATGCTTTAAGGGCTGCTAAATGCACTAGCAATATTTAATTGACTTGTGACGCAATTGGTTAGGCCCCATCAGGCGTATGCACAGACAAACATTGACGACATTTTCGTCCATGGCACCGGGGCGACGCCTAAAGGCGCTCGGCCAACCAGAAGTTAAACCGGCAACTGGTTTTGAGCACTGACTGTGATAACTTCCGTTTCCACCGGCGCAAGGCGCTCCACCGTCACACGAAGTGACGTATTCGCCTGCTTGACGGCTAGGAGCCACTTCGACAGAGCACGATTATCCATAACACGAGGCAGTTGGTGCAAAAAGTGATCCAGACCCTCGAGGTGTTCCGCACAGCGGGGGCGACCTCGGGGAGATGCTCGGCGGGGTTCCATGTATTGGATCTGAGCCAATAGTCAAGACCAGGTGCAACTTGTACCCGCAAGGATGTTGGGCTCATACGCGTGAGTTTTGCGCCTGACTGACAACTGTGATCGATCGAATTCAAAGATTTGGAATAGAAATTTGTTGTGTTCAGTAATAAGTATGAGTGCTTTTTGTCTATGGTTCGCTTGCTCAAATCTTTATGTACAGAGACCCGCTCGATAAATAGTCATCCTGCAACATTATGCGTGAAATGGACTTTCAAGATAGCGCAGTAAGAGTGTTGTCTGTGGGGCGAAGTTGCTGGTCGACTTCGAGGTATATTTGAATTCTGTTGAGCTGAGAGCTGCGGCGGACCCAACAAAATAAAAGTAAAATTAGCTTCGAACAAGGCCTGGATTCACCACTGCGTTGATAGCAAGCTTCGTGTTGGCCATGTGGACATTCCAGTCATCTTGCATTTACCCAGCAAATAACCAAATGTATTTTTCGAGCTTCAATTTATTCGCTGAGTATGAATGAGCGCTGTGAACGACAGTTAAATCCAATTTTGTGTCGATAATTCGAACACATTTTAAGAAACTGAACTCTCAAATCACTATGCTCGCTCGTGTCTCAAGCAACTTCTACATGTAATTTACCAGACGTAAGCAGCTTTTGCAACCATGGTCTTAGTTGTTATAACAGTCATCCGATGGAACGTCTTCTCACTAGGTGTTCATATTTTCTGACCCACTACTCGCATCATTTGCTTAAGTGGTGCCAGAAGACATCTTAATATTTGATACCCTTGCAAACTAATTGTTTTTGTCTCTTTTAAAGTATCAGGTTAATCAAAGTCCGCGACTTAAAGTCTGCCAACCTTACGTCCGGATACATACCGTATTAGTATCTATCAGTGTGGCCACATCCATTCCCTCGTCAAACTACCATGGACCACATCGTGCAATTTGTAGAGCATTTGCAGCCATACGCAGAGGTTGCAACCCCTTTGGATTTTCACTTCCTTCACGCTCATGTCGACAATTTGTCTGCATCACTTGGATTGGGCAGTGACCAGCTCTGCTATGTATTGTGCCTCTTTGTTGCATATCCACTAGCTGTTGTATACAAGATCTTGCCTACTGCTAGTCTCAAGCATATCTTTGATATTGTCATGGGTATTAGTATTGCGCAATTCGTGCTGGGTTCAGGATGGATCCACTCGTTTCTCTCGAGTTTGTTAACGTACTTGATGGTCAAATTTGGACCGCGTCAATACGCCCCCGCCATTGTATTTCTATTCAACATGCTCTATATGTCACTATCGCATATTTACCGACTATACGTGGATTACATGGGCTGGACATTGGATTTTACGGGTCCACAAATGCTTTTGGTTATCAAACTCACCAGCTTTGCGTACAATTATTTCGACGGTACTGTGGACAAAACTTTAGCAACAAAAGGCACTGAATTGTCTCCAAACAAGAGAAAAATGTACGAAGGGCGTCAAAAACTTGCTCTTACGGAACTTCCGTCGTTACTTGAATATTTTGGCTACGTCTATAGTTTTACGACGTTCCTCGCTGGTCCAGCTTTTGAAATTCGGGAGTATCTAGATGTTACGAAAGGTACTAAATTCTTGGTGAACGGCAAAAAGAAACAGCCTTCAAGTGTTTTGGCAGCGTTTTCCAAATTTCTTGTTGGTTCGATTTTGATGGCAGCTTTTGCAGTGTACGGACCATCGTACCCGTTATCGAATCTACACGACTCAAAAATTGCTGCACAACCATTATTGTACCAGCTTCGTGACTTGTACATTACGCTTGCTTTTTGCAAGGCCAAGTATTATTCAGCATGGAAGGTAAGTGTATTGTCCAGCTTAGTCTAAAGTGGTACAAATGTCCAAAAGTTACTACTTCATGTCAATAGATTGCTGAGGGGGCGACAGTTTTGTGCGGTTTTGGATTTGAAGGCTTTAATAAAGATGGATCGAGCCGCGGTTGGAATGGTGTAAGCAATATGGACATTCTAGGCTTCGAGTTTTCACAAAGTATCCGTGCTGCTTCGCGTGCGTGGAACAAAGGAACGCAAAATTGGCTAGAGCGCTACGTGTATACGCGTACAGGCAATTCGCTGATAGCCACGTACTTTATTTCGGCCTTTTGGCATGGCTTCTACCCGGGTTACTACCTCTTTTTCATGAGCTGTACGTAAAGTCTACAAAACATGGATATGTTTCTAATCGTACGAGATCTGTGGTGTATGTACAGTGCCGCTGGCCACGGCTGTGAATCGTCTGGCATTCAAGCGCCTGCGTCCACGATTTATTGAATCCGACGGATCGTTTGGATTTAAAAAGAAAGTCTATGATTTCGTCAGTTACCTGGTTACGCTTGTTGCGATGCACTACTTCGTCATGCCGTTCCAGGTACGTCGTGCGTATATTTTTTAAATTTTGTGATTTAATTTATATATTATTCTTTCCCTAGGCCATGTCGTGGGAAAACTCGATTGCTTCGCTGAAGAATGTGCACTTTGCTGGTCATATTGCAGCCGTTGTGTTGTATATCGTATTCTCGTGCATTCCAGTGCCAAAGCTTCAAAAGAAGATCGAATAGAGTTGTGACACCAAGTTTATGAAAGAAGTGCTCGTTACTGCTTCAAGCTGTGATGAGACAAAGGAAATATCGCAAGAAGATTCGATAGATTAATACAAGTAAGGGAAATGACTTTTCAACTCAACTTAAAGCTCATTTTGAGACGCAAGATGCTTCACTTCTTGACAAAAGCGTTGTACGGGGAAACCAATAACATTGTTGACACAGCCACGAACATCTCGAATGAAGCACCGTGCCCGACCTGCAACATATTCTTCCCATTAACTTACTGACATTTGCCATAACACGACTGCTACTTGCCTTGCAATCCATAAGATCCCGCCTTATCCATTGGCTCTCCTGTCGCAATGTAAGCTACATTGCGTTATTGCAATATTGCAATACCAACGTGTTAAAACGAATTGGCAATAATTATACGATAAAAGCGTCGTACCACGAATATCTTCTGGTTCTAGTCGACCAAACACCAGAAGAGTCTTTTCAAAAAACAAAAGCGGGTTGTCATTGCCTCTTTTAGTAGTGAACAGAGCCACTCCAGAATAGACTTCATGGGATCGATCGGACAATTTACTGAGCATGTTAAAAGCATCGTCCTCATCCTTGGGCTTTTCAAGAATCTCTCCGTCCAGCACCACAACGGTATCACATCCAATTACGACTAATGCATGATCGTCATCACGATTCTTGTTCCTTGAGACACGCTTTAGAACGTCTAGCGCCTTTTGCTTGGCATTCTCGATCACATAAAGATCAGGTGTCGGGAATTGTTCTTTGGGCAGATTCTCTTCGAAAGTGGACGGGATCACCTCAAAAGTAAGACCCTGATACCAAGAAAGTGTGATGATAATATCATGAGAAAAATAGAGACAAGTTCAAAAGGTTGTGTACTGTAAACATACGCAATGATGAAGAAGCTCCATGCGACGAGGACTCTGAGATGCGAGGATCACATTGTGCCTTCGGAGATGATTTAACGCGGTTGTCAACATAATGCCAAATTCTTAAATATTAGTCAATTATTGCATATAGTGGTTATGAGGAAAATCATTATTGGTTCAAGCGTCTTGACATCAATAGATCAAAAGACGACAACGTGACAAGATGCATCCATTGATCTCTAACTATCAGTTGTTCAGTTCCTGTATCTTTCATTTTAATTTCCGCTCAGTCAAAGCTATCAAGTAGATTTACGTATTCGTTTGAAGTCGCTTCCACTGCTATGATTCGTCATATCTTCATGCACTTAAGCTCGTCTTATACTTACACATCCAACATTACCAATTATTGTAGAATATTGAACGCGATACTAGTTCAAAGTATCAAATTGTGATCTCCACCTTGATCGTACATGCTCGAAAAATATCTTCGGTCGACTGTAGCCGTTACAGCGCTAATATCGTACGACTCGTCATCTAAGTGAGACAAAGTATAGCCAAGTGCAGATATTCATGAGTGAGAACGATGAAAGTCGTCGCAGTGGTGCCAAGCGGCATGGTGAGATTCGAAATCCACAAGTCCAGCAGCTTTTACAGCGAATTTACGAACCGAATCTCAGACCTGCTTCATTCACAGATGACAAACGTTCAAGGAATCTCATGTCTTTTGATAGTCGATCAGTTAAAACGCAGGAGATAGCGTTAAAGCCTAAGTTCCAAACGCGCACAAAGGTAGCGGCGAATTTGAACAATGCACCAACAAAAGCTGCGGGATTGCAACGATCTTTTGTCGCACACGATCGTAATTCGAAACCACCCTCAATAAGTATGATGAATTTACCTGTGATGCATCCGAGTCTTTCTAATGCAGTTGAAAGGATTCGAAATCTTCATGATCAACAGCATATTTCGAGCTCAAGTTCAGTGGTGTTTTCTCATTCAAATGCTGATGATACAGAACATGAGAGCAATCAGAAAAATGATGAGATAGGGTCGTACAAGGTATTGTCTTCTGCTTCTAAAGTGGTTCAGCGCAAAGCTTTTACTGCAACTCTTTCCTTTACTTCGTCTTTGAATCTCAATGCACACCATGTACAAGAACTCAAAGCTGGAAATTTCTTGTACTTACGCAAAAAGAGAGATACTGATATAATCATGTACGCACTTGAAGTAGTCGAGCACTTTGAAGTCAATCGATTAGATTATTATACCATGAGTCTTCGAGGTGTCACTCACTTTACAGCAGATCATTCCGAGTTCTGGACACTAGACAAATGGGAGATGGAATATTCGCGCTTGATGAAATTATTGACGATCCCATTCTTTCAAAAGTATAAAATGTGGAAACACTATAGTCTGTGGAAAACTTCGGTTCGCATGCACAAGATGTGCAATGCAAAAAAAGCTTTAAACAAGCATTTATTTCTTCTAGCGCCAAGTCTTCAATCAACCCTTTTAAAGTTACGCACACTTTGTCTTGACATCACCAAGTTAGACTTAATTCACTTTAGCCCCCAAACGACTTACTCATTACAACACTTTGAACTAGAACAGGAAAGAATTCGTGCACAAGTCGCGCATCAACTCGCTGACTTTTCAACCAAGTCCCTACATTTGTGTGTCAAAGCATGTGACGATGTCATTGATACTTTCTTAGCCGCGAACAAAATTTCAGCAGACCACAAAATGACTTTTATGGAGCGAGCTGCACTACGAAAACAATGTCGATTCTTAACCAATTTTCTTCGATTAGTTGACTTTTTTACCATTGACGCTACCATTCAACTCACAGTGTCTTCATTTCAGAAACTTTACACGATACTAACTGCTGGAAAAGCTCAAGATTCAACTACATATGAGACTCCTGCTCATCAAGTAAAACCGACAGGACAAGAGGCCAATGCAAATAAAACCGTTCAAGATCATGTCTTCACTGCAATCTTTGCGGTCGCTGTTGAGATTGAAGAGACTACGTTGAATTTAAATGCTATTCCAAATCATGATGCATGGAATGGAGCACTTCAATGTGCACTAAAAGAAGCTTTGAGCTTGGTCGAGACGCCAGCACGACATCTTGGACATGAATTACTTGCACCATACACTACTGCTAGTGCCGAAGATGAAGGCAAAGATGTGTGGTCAGTAGAGAAATTAAATGTTGCACTAATTCTGAACGAAGACGTTAGTTTTAGCACTCTTACAAATGATATCTTTAATGCGTTGGATGAAGCATTTGAAGCAGTAGAAGACTATTTGGACGTCTTTACTCCATATCACAATATTTACACCGAGAATGAACACCACGTGACACAATTCATGGACATGTACGCTCATGCACCTATTGAAGTGTTTGCCGACTTAGTCGAGAAATACAAAACCCAGGGTCAATTGTTTACGGAAATTCCAGAAGTTGCAACGATCGGGGTCATTCAAGTGGATTCGGCCGAGTTTAAAGCTCGTTTGCTACCCACTCCATCAAAATGCATTCTTGAAATTCGAACGCTGATCCCTCAACTCATGAAACTCGCGAGTTCCGAGCTGCTTCGAACACTTGACGACGTATCTCCTGTTGCATTTGCCTCACCATCGACACCAGATGCGTTTGTGAAGAAAGTCATGCATATGACAAAAGTGAATACTATGTTAACAGACTTGAAAAATCGATATCGTCGTGTGTACGACATGGGCGTTCTCATGGATAATTATGACTGGCGTGTTCCAGATGAGATTAAAGAGGATATTATTCTGATGAAAGAAGGTGTGTTGAGTTTAGAAGGCACACTCACACGTTTTGAAAGCGAGATTGATGCTGAGACGACACGTTTTTCACAAGTGATTCTTGAGAGTATCGCACCATTGAATCGAAATGCAAGTGTGCTCTTAGAAACATTGCACCACCCGAAATTGTCGACAGTCAAGACATCAATACGTGATGCATTGACTTTTCTAAACGCTCAGAAAGATGCACTTGATAAACTTGCAGAAGAAGCAAAAATGCTCACAATGTTTCAAATGCAATTAAGACAACAAGTAAGTGACTTTACGGAATTAAATGAAGTCGTCGCCCATTTTGAATTGAAACAGAAACTCTGGAGCAGTTTAGAAACGTGGCAAAAGCTTGCGACCGAAAACTCAGACACGGTGTTTGACGATATTGATGTAGCAGCGATTCAAACACAAGTGCAAGTATACTCGAAAGTAGCGTATCAAGCTCAGAAACAACTTCCTGGAAACGAGGTGGCTGATCTCTTACATCAAGAAGTTGGGAATTTTAAACTTGTTTTGCCAGTCGTGACGGATTTGCGTTCGTCATCGCTTAAAGATCGCCATTGGAAACAGATTCATGCTGCATTAGGCTTCCAGATGAAAGGAGAGAAGAGTATTACGCTGGGTAGCTTAATTGAACACAATGTCATGAAGCATGGTGAAGTGATCAGCGCTGTAGCGATTGCTGCACAGCAAGAAGGTGTTCTTGAAGAAATGCTGAAGAAAGTCATTGGTGTATGGGCTACGACGGAGTTTGAAGTTAAATTGTATAAGGAAACCAAGGATGTCTTTATTCTTGGAAGTGTCGAGGAGGTCATAGCCAAATTGGATGATTCGATTGTCACAATCAGTACAATAATGGGCTCACGATTTGTGAGTGCGATTCAAGGAGAGGTTGAAGCTTGGCGAAAGAAACTCGTTGCGTTGCAAGAAACGCTTGACGAATGGCTTCTTGTGCAAAAGAATTGGATGTATCTAGAGAATATCTTTTCAGCACCAGATATCCAACGTCAATTACCGGACGCGTCCAAGATTTTTAGTCACGTAGATGCTTCTTGGAAAGCAATAATGCGACGAACACACGACACTTCTAATGTATTGATAGCCGGGACTATCCCCGGCATTAAAGAAATGTTACAGCAGCACAATGCTCATCTCGATAAAATTCAAAAAAATCTAGAAGATTATCTCGAGACAAAACGAATGGCGTTTCCACGCTTTTACTTTCTATCAAACGATGAATTGCTTGAAATTTTGGCTCAATCTAAGAATCCACAAGCTGTACAACCACATCTTCGAAAATGCTTCGAGAATCTCGTTAAACTGGATTTCGGAGACGTTCCGGGTAGTGTTGATATGATTGCGATGTTTTCGTCGGAGAATGAGCGCGTTCCATTAGGAAAAAATCTTAAAGCACGTGGAAATGTCGAAGATTGGCTCAAAGCTCTTGAAGTGAGTATGAAACAATCAATTTACAAGCTTATGAAGGCTGGATTAGTCGATTATGATACAAAGCAGCGCTCTATGTGGGTCTGTGACCATCCTGGCCAAGTTGTCGCTACAGTGGTTCAAATGATGTGGGCTCGTAGTACTGAAGAAGCTTTAAACAGTCAGAACCCAGTGGAGCAATTGCACGTTTGGTTTCAACGCAACTTGTACGAATTAAATGAATTGATTGTGAAAATTCGTGGAAATCTCAAACCATTAGAACGCAAAGTTATTGTCGCTTTGGTGACTACTGATGTACATGCTCGAGATATGATCGAACATTTGTGGAAAGCTCAAGTCGATTCCGTGAGCAATTTTATCTGGCAACAACAACTTCGATATTATTGGGACGTTCAAGCAGACGATGTGATCATTCGACACTCTGATTCTGCTATTCAATATGGTTACGAATACATGGGTGCAACGTCTCGCCTTGTGATTACACCACTCACAGATCGTTGCTGGATGACACTTACAGGAGCGTATGGCATGAAATTGGGTGCTGCTCCAGCGGGTCCCGCAGGTACAGGGAAAACTGAGAGTAGTAAAGATTTAGCCAAAGCCATGGCTATTCAATGTGTTGTTTTTAATTGTAGTGATCAAATTGATTATAAAATGATGGGTAAACTCTTTCGTGGACTTGCACAAGCTGGAAATTGGACGTGCTTAGATGAATTCAATCGCATTGATATTGAAGTTTTATCCGTTGTAGCTCAGCAGCTTTTACTTTTACGGGAAGGTCGCCTTCAGAAGAAAGAACACATGAATTTTATGGGAATTGACATTGGATTAAAAGATCATCATGTGATTGTCACTATGAATCCAGGATACGCTGGTCGAACGGAATTACCGGATAATCTAAAAGTTTGTTTCCGACCAGTATCCATGATGGTACCAGACTATGCTCTTATTGCTGAGATTATGCTCTTTGCTGAAGGATTTAGTGACGCACGTGCTTTGTCTCGAAAAATGTGTAAGCTTTATATACTCTGCAGCGAACAATTGTCGCAACAGCCTCACTATGATTATGGCCTTCGTGCTGTCAAGTCGGTGCTTGTGATGGCGGGAGCTTTAAAACGTGCGAATCCAACTGTGATTGAAGACATTACGTTGATTCGTGCTCTTCGAGAGAGTAATATTCCAAAGTTTTTAGCTGAAGATCTTCCATTGTTCCATGCTATTGTATTGGATTTATTTCCAGGAACCATGATACCTCAAAACGAGTCAAGTGAATTTCAAGCGTGTTTAGAAGAAGAAATAATTAAAGCAGGATTTCAACAAGTGCCTGCATACATGACGAAAGTTGTTCAACTCTTTGATATTTTAAATGTTCGCTTTGGAGGAACAATTGTTGGTCCAACTGGAGCAGGCAAGACATCGTGTTATCGGATGCTTCAATCCACTATGACGTCGTTACGTGCGAAAGGCTCGATGAATCCAATTTACCAGACTGTACATGCTCGAGTTTTAAATCCAAAATGCATTTCAATGGGTGAACTCTATGGTGAGTTCCATGAAGCAACTCAAGAGTGGCACGATGGATTAGCATCAAGTATTATGCGTGAAGCCGTGGCAGATGATTCTAATGATGTGAAATGGACAGTATTTGATGGACCTATTGACGCTCTTTGGATTGAAAATATGAATACAGTGCTTGATGATAATATGACACTATGTCTTGCAAATGGAGAACGAATCAAACTTCGAAACGAAATGAATATGTTGTTTGAAGTCATGGATCTTGCAGCTGCATCTCCTGCTACCGTCAGTCGCATTGGAGTTGTCTATATTACAGATACGGATCTCAATTGGATGCCATTTGTCAAGACGTGGATGGAAAATGAACTTGCCATGGATTTCCCATCGACAGGTCGTGCTCGTCTTCAATTTCTTCTTGATCAATGTCTTGAAAAAACTATCCACTTCACTCGACACCAAACCGTGGAACTTGTTCCGACAGTTGATATAAATCTTGCTACTAGTTTCTGTCGTCTCTTTGCGTGTTTATTCCATCCTGATAATGGAATCGAGTACGTCACGCTCGATACAGAAACTATGCTTGAGTTGTTGGACAAGATCTTTGCCTTCTCTATCATTTGGTCCATTGGTGCTACGATGCCTGTAGATTCACATTCACGCTTTGATGCTTTTACACGTGATTTAATGACTGAAGTGAAAATTAAACTCCCAGCGACGGGACTTGTCTTTGACTACTTTGTCGATGTCAAAGGAGCTCAATTTCGTGCTTGGAGTGACGTCGTCCCCAAGTTTGTCTACAACCAACACGTGCCGTACTTTCAAATGATCGTTGCAACGTCAGAATCGATTCGATTTACCTCATTATTGCGTGTATTGACAAGTGCTAAGCGGCCTACTTACATCACAGGTATCACTGGAACCGGTAAGACGGTGCTTATTCAAGATTTATTACGCGAATTAACGTCATCTGCAACAAATGCAAACGGAGATGAAAGCGTTGCTTCAACAACATCGAAGGTAATGAATCTTTGTATTAATTTCTCAGCTCAAACCTCAAGTCTTATGACACAATTAACGATCGAAAATAAACTTGAGAAAAAACGCCGAAATCTCTTGGGTCCTGTTGCTGGAACGCGAATGGTTCTTTTTGTCGATGATGTGAATCTTCCAGCTGTTGAGGAATACGGAGCGCAAGGTCCGATTGAATTACTGCGTCAATTTCTTGATTTTCAAGGATTTTATGATCGAGATAAACTCTTTTGGAAAGACATTACCGACACAATGTTACTAACTGCAGCAGCTCCAGCTGGAGGTGGTCGATCGCAGTGTACCCCACGATTTGTCCGTCATTTCCACGTTTTGAGCATGTATCCTGCAGGCGAAGCGGCTTTAAAACTTATTTTCTCTTCAATTCTTGGAGGATTCCTCACTTCATTCGCTCCATCGATTCAATTAATGAAAGACAGTGTGATTGCCAGTATTATTGACACTTATAATCAAGTGACGTTGCATCTGTTGCCAACACCGGATAAATTTCACTATACGTTTAATCTGCGCGATATATCAAAGGTATTTCAAGGAATTCTAATGATTTCACCTTCGAAATGTACAGATGTTGAGAGCATGAACCGTTTGTGGATTCATGAAGCTTCGCGAGTGTTTCAAGATCGATTGATCAATACAACGGATCACGCATGGTTTGAAGAGCTTGTGTGTTCGTTACTGCGACGTCATTTTAATTGCAATTGGACTCGTGAGTCACTCTTTCACTCATCTTGTCCTTTATTGTTTGGAGATTTCATGCAAGAAGGCGTTCCTACGCCATTGTACGAACACTGCAATGATCTTGGAAAAGTGACGAAAAGTCTGGACAATTACTTGGAAAGCTACAATTTGACGTTTGCAAATAAAATGAATCTCGTGTTCTTTCGTGATGCGATCGCACACTTGTCGCGACTTGTACGAATTCTTCGTCAACCTCGAGGTAATGCAATGCTAATTGGTGTTGGTGGTAGTGGAAAACAATCGCTAGCACGTCTTGGTGCGTTTATTCTTGATGCAAAGTGCGTACAGGTTGAAATCACACGTGGGTATAGTACGAATGAATTTCATGAAGACTTGAAAAAAGTTATGATCTCGGCTGGTGTGGATGGCCAGTCGACTGTCTTTCTCTTTACTGATAGTCAGATTGTTCATGAAAGTTTTGTCGAAGATATCAATAATATCTTAAATAGCGGTGAAGTTCCGAATCTGTTTGCTTCGGATGAAATGGATCGCATAATTGCAGACGTACGTCCGATTGTCAAAATTCTTGCAATTCCCGAAACACGAGACAATTGCATCGCCGTCTTTATTGATCGTGTACGTACGTATTTACACATTGTATTGGCCATGTCACCTGTTGGTTCTGCATTACGTGTGCGGTGTCGTGCGTTTCCATCGCTTATTAATTGCTGTACGATCGATTGGTATATGAATTGGCCACGAGAAGCATTGCAGTCAGTAGCTGATCGATTATTGACAAACGTGTCATTACCTTCTGATGAGATTCGAAAAGCTCTTGTCAATATGTGCTCGATAGTCCACACAACCTCAAATGACTTCAGTCTCGAATTCGCAAGTCAATTACAACGTTACGTCTACACGACCCCGAAAAGTTATCTCGATCTGATTAATTTGTATCTTAAAATGCTGCATGAGAAGCGTACAGGACTACAGATTCTAAGACATCGAATGGAAGTGGGGGTTCAGAAACTTGACGATACCAATAATATTGTCGATGCGCTCAAATCTGAATTAATTGCTCTTCAGCCAGTTCTTACAATTAAAGCTAAAGAAGCAGAAGAATTGCTTCAACGTGTGTCGATAGACCAAAAAGCTGCCGCAATTGTACGTGAACGCGTAGCTCTTGACGAAGCTTTGGTGACCCAACAAGCAGAGCAAGTGGCTATTGTCCAAGCTGATGCACAAAAAGATCTGGACGTGGCGATGCCAGCTTTGACAAACTCAATTAAAGCGCTTGATAGTTTGTCCAAGAATGACATAACTGAAGTTAAGTCCTTTGCAAAGCCTCCTGAAGCTGTTGAGACGGTCATGAACGCTGTGTGTTTACTCTTTAATGAAAAACAAAATTGGGATTCGGCGAAAAAGATCTTAAGCGATGTTGCATTTCTCGACAAACTTCGAAATTTTGACAAGGACAACATATCGTCTGCTACGCTCAAGAAACTAAGTAAAGCTGTGTCGGAACCAGGAATGGCCGTTGAAATTGTATCAAAAGTCTCTAAAGCTGCTACGTCTCTTTGTCTCTGGGTACATGCTATGGACGTGTATTCCAAAGTCGCCAAGGATGTAGGTCCCAAGAAGGAGAAACTGGAGCAAATGAATCAAAAATTAGCTCAAGCGAATGAAATATTGAGTCAAAAACAAGCGGAACTTCGAATTGTGAACGAGAATGTGGCTAGATTGGAACAGCAATGCAAAGAAACATTGGATGAAAAGGATTTGCTTGCAAAAGACGCTTTTGTGACGGAATCAAGACTTCTCAGAGCTGAGAAACTCATTGCAGGCTTGTCAGTAGAAGGTACACGTTGGAAAGAGAGCGTATCGGTCTTAAATGACTCAATCTTGGCATTGATTGGTGATACATTCCTTGCGGCGGCATGCATTTCGTACTTTGGCCCATTCACAGGGGAATTTCGGCTTCGCATTGTGGCCCAATGGATCGCTCAAACACAAGATTTGAGCATTCCTTTTTCATCAGGATATCAATTGTCAACGATACTTGGAAGTCCGGTGGAAATTCGTGAGTGGCAAGTAAATGGTTTACCAAGTGACTTGACGTCGACAGATAATGCCATTCTTGTGACGAGAGGCGAACGTTGGCCATTAATGATTGATCCACAAGGTCAAGCGAACAAATGGCTCAAAAAAATGTATTCTACGACATTAGAAGTAACGAAAATGACCAATTTAAACTTGTTACGAGTTTTAGAGACGTGTATTCGAAATGGAAAGACACTTTTAATTGAAGATATTGACGAGACGTTAGAACCGTCGTTAGAGCCAATATTACAAAAAGCGTTTTATCAACTAGGAGGACGAAACCTCATTCGTTTAGGCGACTCGGACGTGGACTATGATCCTGCTTTTAAATTGTATTTTACAACGAAATTGCCCAATCCACACTATCTCCCTGAAGTCTTTATTAAAGTGACTGTTATTAACTTTACAGTGACCATGGATGGATTGGAAAATCAACTTCTTGGAGACGTTGTACGTCACGAGCGACCAGAAATTGAAGAAAAAAAGAATCGACTTGTTTTGACGATGGCACAGGATCGAAAAGAATTAAAAGAAATTGAAGATCAAATTCTCAAACAGCTTTCAGAATCAACAGGCAACGTTTTAGATGATCAAAATCTAATTGATACCCTTCAATCGTCCAATGTCACATCTCGTACCATTAAAGAGCGCGTACTTGAATCTGAAGCTACTGAACTCGAGATTAATCGCGCGCGGGAAGAATATCGTCGTGTGGCTACACGTGGGTCCATTCTTTACTTTGTCGTGGCAAATCTCGCTCTCATTGATCCAATGTATCAATACTCCCTTCCGTTTTTTCAACGATTGTTTAACGTTTGCTTTCACAAAGCTTTAAAAACTGATTCTCTGCACAAACGGCTTCAAAGCCTAGTAGATTTCCAAACTCGGCACATCTATGTCAATATCTGCCGTGGTCTCTTTGAGGTTCATAAAGTCATTTTTGCAATGCTAATTTGCTGCAAGATTCTCCTTCATTCCGGCAAAATTTCGAAGCATGAATGGCATTTATATCTTCGTGGCGCTTCGCTAGGACCTGATCGCTCGAAACAGTTGATAAACCCACATCCTGCAAGCATAACTGAAGCACAATGGGCTTTACTATCGGAACTTGAGACTCTTGAGACTTGCTCGATTGAGAAATCACAAGATTCGAAAATAAATCCCTTTCAAGGTATTTGTACTTCGTTAACAAATGTTTGGCCGGACTGGCAAAAATGGCTTCAAGAACCTGATTTTCTTGAAAACACAAGCGCATGTCCTGGTGATTATGGCACGCAATTGAGTGCGTTTCAAAAGGTGCTGCTTTTACGAGGTTTAGCTGAAGAAAAGGTGCCACAAGCTGTGCTACATTTGATTGCCACTGCAATGGGTCCAGATTTTGGACGGAATGCATCGATTTCAATGGAGGAGATTTACAATGACACTGATCGAAAGACACCATGTATCTTTGTATTATCAGCTGGTGCTGATCCAACTGGGATGCTACTTCGTTTTGCAAAAGAACTGACGTTTCTTGATCGTTTACATCTCATTTCACTTGGTCAAGGACAAGGTCCACGTGCTGAAAAGCTGATTGAAAGTAGCCAACAGGCTGGAGATTGGGTCTTACTTCAAAATTGTCATCTTGCAAAGTCGTGGATGCCAATGTTAGAGACATTGGTCAACGATATGGCTCAACGTACGGATGAACAGTGTCAATCGACCTTTCGTCTCTTTTTAACAAGTTTTCCAGCAGCGTATTTTCCTGTCACCATTCTTCAAAATGGTATTAAACTTACGAATGAACCACCAAAAGGGATTCGAGCTAATCTACGTCGTTCATTTACGACCATTGTGTCAGAACAAGTACTTGAAAGGTTTCAGGAATCGGATCACTTTGAAACAGGCGAGAAGAAAGCACATGTTTGGAAATCGCTCGTATGTGCACTGACATTTTTCCATGCCATTGTACAAGAAAGACGTAAATTTGGTGCATTGGGTTGGAATATCAAGTATGAATTTAACGAAACGGACTTGGAGACATCGTTAACTAGTTTATATCAGTTTCTCGATGAACAACCACGAATTCCATGGGATGCTTTGTGCTATGTGACGGGTCAAATTAATTATGGAGGACGAGTGACAGATGATTGGGATCGACGCTGTTTAATGAGTATCCTGAGTCACTTTTACACACCAAATGTGCTCGAAGTAGGTCATGCATACTCGACATCAAAAGTGTATCATGTACCAATGGAACTCTCACATGGAGCAATTCAATCGTATCTTGATACACTTCCTTCTTTTGATAATCCAGACATTTTTGGAATGCACAATAATGCTAATGTCACGTACGAACGTCATGAAAGTACGACCATGCTGCAATTAATTCTCAGTCTTGAGCCACGAGATCATGGTACTGGAGGTACAATCTCAAATGATCAACGTGTGCTGGATCTTGCTCTTTCAATTGAAGAAAAAATACCATTAGATCTCGAACTTCAAGATGCTGGACCAACAACTTTCAAAACTCGAAAAGTTTCCGAAACAATTGTTATGGATTCATTAGCTACTGCTCTTGGACAAGAAATCATAAAATTTAATACTCTATTACATCGTTTACGCACATCTTTGCAAGATATTCAAAAAGCAATTAATGGACTCATTGTCATGTCTTCTGACTTGGATCATATGTATATGGCATTTCTAGCTAATCGAGTGCCACAGATTTGGATGTCACTTAGTTTTGCGTCGTTAAAACCATTAGCATCCTGGGTACACGACTTACTTGATCGTGTAACCTTTTTTCGTCACTGGCTTAAACATGGTGAACCCATTATCTTTCGACTAAATGTCTTTTTCTTCCCTCAAGGTTTCCTAACCGGCACTCTTCAGAATTATGCACGCAAGTATCAAACTGCAATTGACTCACTTGCATTTACATTTACAGTCTTAGATATAAAGAATGTTCAAGAATTAAATCAAAGTCCGACGGATGGTGTTTACATTGATGGACTTTGGTTACAAGGTGCCAAGTGGTCGACTACTCATGGTCTGCTAGAAGATGCAATACCTGGTGAAATGTTTGCACCCATGTCTATCGTACACTTTTTGCCAACTACTTCCACAAGTACTGAGAAATCCATGTATGCATGCCCAGTTTACAAGACATCAGTACGACAAGGGACATTGTCGACAACAGGGATATCAACTAATTACGTCATTGCTGTCCACCTTCCGAGTCATAAACCACCAGATTATTGGGTACGAATGGGTGCAGCCTTCTTGCTGAATCTTGATGATTAAAACGTTAATACCTAGAAACACCCACCTACCATGGATCATGTAAAAAAACACACGTTGCATTATGTCTTATGTCATTAATGGGGGTATCCAACTTGCCGGAAAAGGGCCATTTCATCCTCTTGATACAACTACACTTGGCTTTCTTCTCACCACACTCCTCTTTTCGTTAATACGAGTCCATAGAGATAGTGGATGCTCGCGAACTCGTTGGCATAAACATGCTGTCGCGCATACTGGGCGTGAGTGTTGAGATACTCTCCCTGGAATCGACACTGTATGCTCTGTCAATACGTTTGCTCTTTCGTTTGTATACGCACGTGTCTTTATCTATCCGAATACCCCATTGAAATTCTTCCGCTTTCGTCACGACATCCAGAAACTCATTCAGCTTGACAATGCGATCGATAATGAGCTGATCTGAGAAAAATCCCGTAAGACTTTGGGTCTGTAACTCTGGAATATCGTGATCGCTGCTGGGATTTTTAGCCTTTAGTGTAGCCGCCAAATTTCTACAATAATTGACGATGTCGTAAAAATTCCATACAAACTATACATGTTTCGACAATCATGTAAACCACTTACAAGAATGTGCTGTATCGATGCCATAATACCAACGTGCCTCGAATGTCTGTCTCAATTAACAGCTTGTACTCAACATACTGTCGCCCCTGTTTCGTCTTGATACGACTATTTTCATGACACAATCCATAATGTGTTATATCTCTCCATTAGAAATACCATACACGAGTAGTCATACCTGTCGACCACTTTCGCTGAAAGCAAAGAGATTTCACGCATTTGGTCAATTTTAGTCTGGTACGAATCAAGTGTCTGACGTAGCTGTACGTGTTCACGACGTAAATCAACACTGGCGTTTTGTAATGCCATGTTTAAAATTGAAGCACGTAATTTTTCATTCTCTTCTTCCAAATGACGTTTCTTGGCTGCTGCTTCAGCCAATTGAGCTTCATACTGACGTGCTGCTTCCTCAGCCTTGGCCACTTTATCAGCGGCGTCTGATAGTACACGCTCGGTCCTTTTCATTGGTGGGCCCATATCTGTATGCTACTGTTATGGAAGAAGAAGGGGGAAGTCGACAAGTGAGTCTTTTCCCAAGTCATAATGTTGTAAAAGTTACGCACCAAGTCCTTGGTCCTGTGTATGAAGGGGGGGCGCTTTCTCTCAAGCAACAAGGAGCGAGATGTTCGCCGCCAATTGAGAAAACTGGTTTCTGCTGCTTTCCTTCTCGTTTCGTTGCCGTCCGTCTGATGCCAGACAACTCGGCGACGAAGCAAATGCAGCTGGTACGACGTTCAGTTTCGCTCTCCCAGGTCTTCTGTTATTGGTCGAACAAACGCACGCACAGAAAACGACCAAAAGGAGCTTATTCGTGAGGATTTGGACCGGGTAAATTATTTTGGCAACATAACGGCAGAGGAAAGAATTTTGTCTTGCATAGATAGAAATCGAAAGGTCATGTCAAGTGAGTAAGAGAAGGAGCTCGAGCGTCGTTAAGAACTGGATCATGCGTCAGCACATGAGTCAAATAACTGAACAATCTGCGTCGCTATATTTCACTATTTTAAGACAAGCATATTATCGGAATTATTAAAGTGGACGACGAAAAAAATGGTTCAGTTTCTAAAGATTTGAACGTCTTTAAATTGACAGTATGAACAGTGAGCTGTAACATGACAAGGTAATGCAGTCAGTCAGGATTCTTTTATCTTGACGGCGAAAGAAAGGGGTACATACTATCCAATTTGTGGACAGTTCGATATGCTGACATAATTCTGCAATTAGCCTTTTTGTCTCGCCTTATGTTTCAAATGGGTTGTTAACATGTAACAATTAATATTTTATATTGTACTTGCTAAAGTATGCACGAGCCGATGATGTAACATTAAGAACGGTGTCATCATTGCTTTATGTAAAGAGCATATTTATATGGTTTGGTATGGACTATTACGAAATAAATGCAGAGTCAGTCGCTACACTAATCCTGACGAAAGAATCATGAATCATAGTATGAATCTGACTACGATGATTGGCTGATATTAACAACGACCGTACAAATTTGGAGTAAATGTTTGAAGGCGACATAACAATTTACGTCACATTTAGTGATTCGTCAAAAATTTCTATGATCACTAGAAATAAAGATTTTGGCAGGAGGGAAAAATCAGATTTTCCAATTCAAAACTCGATTTTTTAATTGCGCGCATAATTGATAGAAATTAAAGTCTTTATGAAATCACCAACAAAAATTGTTCAAACGGCATCGTCGCATATGGAACTTTAAGATACTCAGTAGTCCGCCTTAACCTACAGTGCCCAGAACATGTTATTGAATTCCGTATAAAAGTAGCTAGAACGAATATCTTTAAGCCTACAGATCAAGGCTGCAATAACAAGCTACTGATACGATCTAAAAGTCAGTGTACAGCGATTACTAGTAGTTAACGCTAGTGATGCAAGACAAGCCTACCTGTGAGGTTACCGTGATGTGAACCTTTGTCATGATATTGTTTGTCGTGGGATTGAATGTAGAGCGAACAAATTGCAGTATACACTCTCCCAGACATTTCGTATTGTATTCCTGGGAAGTACCTCTGGACGCACAAGTCATTGTCTCTTCCACGACTTTTGGCTGCAGTCATTGATAGTTCTTACGTCGAAAAAGACGCTTAAATGGCTTAATATACAGAATAAACCAGCTTGAAGTGTTATCATGGAGCATTAAGCTGTGGACAACTACACCGCCAGCCACAATTCGCCTTTGCTGGTAGATGACAGTGCAATTTGCTCTCATCCGTGAATTTAAAGGATGAGGCTCGATGACTCTGACAAATTCAGTGCTACTGGTGACTGCGGTCAAATTGTAGTTGTCATCCAATACGTGTGATCGCATGTTATCGAAGGTTTTTGACATATGGTGTAGGAAGATAGAGAGGATATTTGTGCTTTGGGTATAAATGTTCCAAAGGTTCTGCAGCTCCCAGCCAATGCGATAGAAAATTGGCAACAAACCTTTTTTTCAGAGCAAAGAGAAATTAGATGTGGCCAGGAGCAGAACGACCGTGGTATGTTTCGGTTTGGAGGGCCGCCAACAACTTTAACGATTATATAAATGCCAAACATCCTTCAAGGATAGGTTGCCGCTCAACTTAATTTGATAGATTTAACCAACAGCACTCCCCGATGTTCGATTTAGCCAATCACGAGAGGATGAGAACTGCAAGGTGTGCGCGAGCTTTTAGAGCGTGAGTCCAGTTATACATGAATCGTGGTCCGACGAGCCCGCATGCAAGTCTTTCCTAAAATCGCGCCAGCTCAGATTTTTGCTGACAAATATTCTTCAGCAGGTTAAAGGCTCCACAAAAGAGGATGCCATTTTATGACAAGATTCAATCTTCAGAAAGGCATGTTATCTTCAACATTGACATATTCTACCACAGTACCCCATAAAGGGGTGATACCATGCAGGTACCTTCAACAGTCCGATGAGACTACTTGACCAATATAAATAAAGCTGTCGTATGTACGTTGAACAAATCCGTGCGACGTGAGCGCTAGTGTGACTCACACCTCTTGCCGTATCTTTGCGCGCCACGATGCTCACAAAGATTCTTTCCCCGGGACTGTAATGAGCCTTAAATAGTCATTACACAAAGGTTCCTTCTAGTACATATATGTACATATTGCGTATATTACTTCAAAATGATAACAGTTTGATGTCCCACATGCATATGTGACATCTTCTAAGAAGCAAAATACATTCTTTGTGATACAGAATGCTGAGTCCTTATTCGGGAATTGTGCTGGCAACAAGACCGATGTATCGCGGTCGTTTGAAGCGGACAGTCACTTCATCTAAAAATATTTTCACGGAAGTGCAAAGTCAACCATTTTATACTTCAACTCCGTATACACAAGATCTTGTACGAGTTCAAGCGGACATGCAACATCAGTACACCCATGATTGTATTAAACAGACTAATAGGACTATGGGGTATTTTGCATGTAGCTCTAGGAACTTTTAACTCATTTTACTTCAGTTGCAAATTTGCCTTTGTTCCTCTTCTTTCCTCTAAGTCGGGGAGGATATATCCCTCCACGTTGAGCTTCGCTTTCTCGTCGAGTTTGAGGAGCTATTGCAAACAGCTTTGTTTTACGCTTGGAAGCACTTCGAGCGGTCTTTTGATTGACACTCTATCTGGTTTGACGACACGGCTCATACGCACGTCACGCATTCCTGTTCAGGTTATACTTTGTCCTTGTCCCAAAGATTCGGAGGGAGATGGAGCATCACTGCGTACCGCCAAATGAGACACTGACTAATGTGACGTTTTTGCATTTGTTTTTTGAATAACTTAATGGCACTGGAGTGGCTACATGGGCTTATTTGGAGAAGCATCTTGGATCAGCTAACTGCAATCGTCTTCACCTGGTGCTCAGAAAAGTCGCCGTCAGTTTCATGCACCATGATATTATGAAAGCAGGTAGCAACTCCTGTTTCTTTTTTTGAAACGGTACATGTGAACGTGAACATGTCTGTAAACTGTGATGGAGGAAACAAGCCTCTCTTACGGCGGTTTGCCGAGCTAGATGCCGCCATGAAAACCATACGATCCAATTATAAACGACGTTTGAGCCACTATAGAGTAGATTCAGTACCCGTGCGATTTCTTAAAGCTTCGTCAAAGTCGTTACGACCAACACTTGTATGCACAGCGTACGTATCAAGTATTGTTGACGGGCCCATCGACTTATCAGCACAAGTTGTAACGTTAATGGCAACTTTGACTAATGGAAACAATTGTTCCGTGGGTACCCTAAGCCGCTGGATGAAGCCATCAACCGTGAAATGCAAGAAATGTTCAGCACTAATCAAGCCGATTTTGACGGCTTCGTTCCAAGCCTCGCGTGCAGCGGGAATGCCGTAGCTCTTTCGCTAAGAATAAGCTTTGTTAAGGTCGGCGAGCTTCGTTCTATGCTTAGAACCAGTACGAGTGTAGCTGATCGCAATTTTCTTACTCCGAGAATAACTACAACCTTAACCCAATGCTAATTAAATCTTGGTTTTGTTTGCATCAAAGGCCTCTATATCGAATTCTATAGGTTTTCCCAAATAGATAGAAGAACCTGACTAAAATGCTTAACCTCGGGCAATCCAGCCACATACTAAATTCTTGTCAAGGTGTAGCCACACCATCGTGTTATTACACCGTCTTGTGTATCCAAATCCTTGTATGGTCACACCATATGTCTCATACTAGGGTACGTGTAACCCCGTTACACTATCCTCCACCAAAACTGTGAACACCCACAATTTGCATTTAGCTGTCGCCTTGTACGAGGCTCGCGTGTCTAAGACACCTCTACATCTCCAGGACCTTATGCACGCATTCTCTGCTCGATTAGCCCTGTGTCTAGGATACGAAAGATACCCAGCCTCGCTGGTTCCAAGAGCGCCCTCGGGCAGAGCCCTTTTTCGTCTCCTGTACGCGGTGTAACTTTGGCAGCACGCCTGCGGCTTCAAGGGAAGCCACTCGGCAACCAAGAACTGTGCACCACGCCAACCTCGGGCGACGAATTACCTCATGGAGGATTTGGAGGAAGTCGACTACGAGTCGGATAATCCTATCTCAGGATGGGAAGAAGAGAAAGGCGAGGTGCTATAGCGGCATGACGTGAGCCCTGCTCGAGCCTTACGGACACCATGTCCGTTTCCCGACCTCTCAACGTTTGGGGGAAGTGGTATAACTATCAATGACCTCGACGAGGCACAGAGACAGCAGTAAGATGCTGTTAACAGGGCGGCTACGAGCGCGCGTCCACGGTCAGTCGTAGACCCTCTTGTGGAATATTGCTTTTGCTCGGCGGAGAAGCGAAAGACGCGATCACTCGATCGTTGGGCGTTTCGTGGTCGGACCCCCGGACACTACAGAAGCTGAGTCTGTCGATCGAAAAAACGCTTCTTGGTTCCGCAAGCAATACCGCTAATTAGGTACCGCGCTCGACTTCGTGCTTGAAAAGGAAGCGCTCCTGTACCC